CTGGGTCAATAACTGCAAAGGAGGCCTGTAGACTGGCTTTGCAAACCTGCTACTATTAAACTTTAGGGCTCTTGCAAACTGCAGCAGCCCTGGGACAAAATGCAAAAGAAAGCAACCTCAAACAGCTGAAAGGTAGGGCAAACCAGGCTCCTGGGAGACGGAACAATATCCTGAATTTTGTATTAAAATAGAGATGAGTTTTGGGCTCTGTAAGTTGCAAGGGTATTTGGCCGTGAGATCAAATGTGGGCCACTTAATTAGTTATAGTTTAAGATGGTTGCCTCCACTTACATTCAGCTTGTATAGTTTATAAATGTTATCAAACATCTATAAGCTTCCAAAATCTGCCTTCCAAAGGAAACCAAATTTAGGTAAGCATGACATCTCTAAAATTATCATTTCTTGGAGAAATGAAACAAATATGATGGAGCGCAAGACAAGATTGTGTGTTCTTGAGAGAACTTCTCACTGTGAAGTGGGGACAAGGCTAACAATGTATTAAAAGGTGCATCATTTTTCCGAATGATGCAGAGAGTGTTTGAGGATTGGAACATCCGTAGGGAGACCAAGGTGCTTGTTTATAAAGATATTGTCCTCTCTGCTATACGGTTATGAAATGTGGACTGTCTACAGACGTCACACTCCACTCCTGAACGATTCCATCAGCATTGCCTCTGAAAAATCCTGCAAATCTTTTGGCAAGACAAGTGGACAAATGTCAGTGTACTGGAAGAAGCAAAGACCACCAGCCGCAAGCAATGCTCCTACACCATTAACTCCGCTGGACTGGCCACATTGTCTGAATGGCCGATCACCATCTCCCAAAGCACATACTCTACTCCCAACTCAAGAATGGGAAACGTAATGTTGGTGGACAGGAAAAGAGATTTAAAGATGGGTTTAAAGACGACCTTAAAAACACTGTCATAGACATTGAGAACTGGGAAGCCCTGGCCCTTGAGCACTCTAACTGGAGGTGAGCTGCGACCAGCAGTGCTGTGGAATTCAAAGAGGCATGAATGGAGGTCGAAAGGGAAAAGCATGCCAAGAGGAAGGTGCATCAAACCAACCCTGACCGGGACCACCTTCCACCTGGAAACTGATGTCCTCACTGTAGGAGAACATGCAGATCAAGAATAGGGCTCCACAGTCACCTACGAACCCACCGTCAAGACACTACACTTGGAGGACTATCATCCTCAAGCTATGAGGGATCGCCTAAGTAAGTAAAAAGTAACAGTGTATTAAAATTAGAATTTTAGAATACAGATTAATGCTTTGAGCTGGAATATTTGAGTCTACACTGCCATATATTTCAGTTCAATGCAATTAATCTACATTCTGAAACTACATTACATGGTAGTGTAGATCCAGCCAAAGAAAGCCACTTTCAAGACAAAAGAAATTCAGATAGAGCAGTAGCATAAAGTAATATCTACAAATCTTTCCCTTTTATTAGTATGAGCTATGGTCAACACTAATGAAAAAGATGTAGTAGCCGGAAACTGAAGCCCTCGCTTTGCCTGTAACAAAAAAAAATTAATTTGGTTTTAAATCCCATTCATAAAAAAGCAGCCTCTACCAGCACCACTTATTTTGATTACTCATAAACTGTTTTATCTCTGGTCATGTAGGGTCAGATTGCAACTTCCTTTGCGGGTTGAAGGGATAAAGCCAACACCCCCACAATTGGAAAAGGACTAATCAAAAAAAGTTTAATCATGTCAAAGCTTATGTAAGAAACAAGGCAACAACAGGGCCTTCACTGGACAGTTTTGGGATTTACCATTCTGATCCTAGTCGAATGGAAATAGGTAGGAGTTGTTACCAACACGAGCCTTGGGATGATAACTGAAATACAAGGATGACCTTGCTGAAAAGCCAACAGTAATCTCATTGCTTCTAGACAAACTGGAACTATAGCCAGCTGTCAAGAGAAACAACTGCTTTCTGGATAGAAGCCACGGAGAAATAAAAAGCGTTAATTCCTTCCCGGCATTGATTTACACTGCACATGTGTGTGTGTGTGTGTGTGTGTGTGTTTCAGCAAGTGCCTGCCAGTTCTCTAGTAACTAAGAGTATAAGTGGGTCAGGGAACTGTGTTGATTTCATGCACAATAAATTCATGGGGTCACCATAAGTCAACAGGCGACCTGAAGGCACACACACACACACATGCATTAACTGCACAGTGTCCCTCTAAACACAATTGAGTCTCCAACACCCCCAGCCTAGACTATAAATCAGGGTTGCAGACCTGAATTAAGAGCCTATTTATAAATGACTTGGAGCTTGAATTTAGTACTGCTTCAACAGAAAATATAAGGTGACTATTTGTTGCTGTTATTGTGCACCTTAAAGACATTTCCAACATATGGCAACCTTAAGGTGAAACTATCATGGGGTTTTTTTTTGGCAGGGTTTGTTCAGAGGGAGACTTAGCTTTCCTTTGCTCTGAGTTTGAAAGAGTGTGACTTGTCCAAGTTCAATGTGTTGTCGAAGGCTTTCATGTCTGGAATCACTGTGTTGCTGTGAGTTTTCCAGGCTGTATGGCCATGTCCCAGAAGCATTATCTCCTAACGTTTTGCCCACCTCTATGGTAGGCATCCTCAGAGCCTGTGAGGTCTGTTGGAAACCAGTAAAGTGAGGTTTATATATCTGTGGAATGTCCAGGGTGGGAGAAAGAACTCATCTGTTTGAGGCAAGTGTGGATGTTGCAATTGGCCACCTTAATTAGCAGTGACTGGCCCTGCAGCTTCAAGGCCTGGGTAATTCCTGCCTGGGGAAATCCTTTGTTGGGGGGGGGGGGTTAGCTGGCCCTGATTTTTTCCTGTCTGGAACTCCCCAGTTTTTTGATGTGGCTCTTTATTTACTTACCTGATTTTATAGTTTTTTTTAATACTGATAGCCATATTTTGTTTATTTTCATGGTTTTCTCCTTTAGATACATCTAATCAGATACATCTAGTTTACATCTCCCAACAAAGGATTCCCCCAGGCAGGAAACAGCCAGGTTTTAAAACTGCAAGGCTGTTCAATGTTAAGCAAGCTGGCCAATTACAACATTCACACTTGCCTCAAAGAGACAAGAGTTCTTTCTCCCACCCTGGACATTCCACAGATATATCAACTTCACTTGCCAAGTTTCCAACATACTTCACAACCTCTGAGGATGCCTGCCATAGATGTGGGGGGAAATGTCAGGAGAGAATGCTTCAGGAACATTCAGCACAGAAAAATCACAGCAACCCCCTGTCCAGGTTCACTTAGTAGGTTTCCATAGCTCAGGGCTCTTCCACACAGCCCTATTTACCAGAATATCAAGGCAGAAAATCCCACATTATCCGAGTGTGGATTCAGATGACCTGTTCAAAGCAGATATTGTGTGATTTTCTGCCTTGATATTCTGGGATCTAGGGCTGTGTAGAAGGGCCCTCTGTAGGGATTTGAACGTTGGTCCATGGTCAAATCATTACTATGCTGGCTCATATTGGGCAGCCATTTGCACATCTATTAACGGTGACAATAGAGGGCAGGGATAGGCATAACATTTGCATTTAATTTAAATATATAGCTAGGTAGCTATTTAGATATAATTACTATAATTGCTACAGTATTTATGTTATAGTGTATTATATTTCAGAGGCAAAATCACATCTGAGTATTTCTTGCCTAAGAAAATCCTATGAAGTTCATGTGGTCACAAAACGTCAACAGGCAACTGAAAGCAAACACACACACACACACATATCACTGGAGTGGGCCAGTGATCAGTAATTACTGTTCAGTTGCTATTAGTTATTGGGAAACTATCCTTTCTTGTGGCATTGAATTCCTAGCCCCACGGAGCTTTTTTAAAAAGTGATAACACCTTTCAAAGCTAACAAAAGAAATCAAATTGCCTTATTTAAAATAGTTGCAACCATTGGCACAGGAGTACTATTGCTTGTAGTTCATTTTTTATAATGTCTTACAATGTCTCCCTTTCTTTCCCCCCTCCCCCACTTGTAGTTTGGTAAGGCACAAGCACTCTGATAGAGAATGATAAATACTTTATAAAACCACAACTCCCAGGATTCCATAACACTTAGTCAAGGCAGTGGAAATGATGAATGCAATGTAGATGCATCCAAAGACGACCAGCCAATATGCACTCTGCAGGGGAGAGTTGCATCTAGTTTTAGGATTAGGGGGAGGATTTATGTGTTCAGTGGATCTTTGTGGATTAAATCAGTAGACATTGTATTGCTACTTAATGAACATATCAACAGGTCAATAGTTAAAGCTCAGGTTGGGGTGAGCTCCCATTATCAGCCCAACTTCTGCTCACCTATCAGTTCAAAAACAGCAATGTGAGTAGGTAAATAGGTACTGCTTTGGTGGGGAGGTAATAAAAGGCGCCCATACAGATATGCCGGCGATTTGATCAGGGGAGTGTCTAAGGACATCAAAGCTCATTATGGAAGATGAAGCGACAGCACCCCCTATGGCCGGAGTCGAGAACAGCCTCCAGATGCCAGAGATGTACTGTCTGTCTTTGTTAATTGTATAACGGCATTGAATGTTTGCCATATATGTGTACTGTAATCGGCCCTAAGTCTCCTCAGGGAGATTGGGCAGAATAAAAGCAAAATATATTATGATTATATTATACCGCCCTCCCCTTTTGTAAATTGATTAACATGGGTTATGAGAGTACAGTCCCATCTATTTGATCCATATCCCACTAAAAGTCCAATTGTCTCTCTTCCATTAGGAAACAGCTAAACATGTTGAGAGGCTCTGAAAAATAAGATTATTTCCATCCAATTACTCTGTTCTATATCACCATTAAAACAAATGGTTATGGCCCAGTCCACAAACTAGAGCAGACAAATAGCTGGATTTAAGGCAACTGAGTCTTATGGATTGAAATCTGCTAATATGGAGGCAAGCTTGTAGGTTCTCTTTATCAACAATCATAAGTTTTAATAGCTCTGGCTTTGAAGACTTCAAACAAATGTTCATGACTTCAATTTTATTTGGTTCTTCGTATTTCCAATACAAAGGTATCAAAAACTGAATTACAGTAAGTATTCGCCAAGAAAAGAAAAAAAATATAACAAACAGCAGCAACTGATGTCCACAGGGGTTGAGGCTGGATCTACACTGTCATATAATTCAGTTCCAGAATGCAGATTAACTGCATTGAACTGGATTATATGGCAATGTAGACTGATATAATCCAGTTAAATACTTAATGCAATTAATTTGCCTTCTGAAACTGGATTATATGGCAGTGTAGATCCAGCCTGAGTGAACAATTGGTAGAATTACCAGATGAGCAGGCAGCAGATTTCCAGAGACTGAGTCAGATACATCTAGTTTACTACTTCCTTGTAATATTCAAGGAAGCCTTGCATGGTTGGGCAGGATGGTTTGGTGGGGTGTTGGCAATTAGATCACATAGTAAATTGGGCCTCTAACACTAGGAATATGGGTTCTATCTTCATGCTCTGAATTCCAATTTGTACATAAATTAAAAGTTGTATTAGTTATTTGATACTTTTTTGTATTAGAGTAGCAGTTTCATGTAAGGAAAAGATGTGAAGGCTGAGAGCAAACTAGGATAGTGAATTTGCCTCTTTTTACTAACCTACTTGTATACTGCTTACAGCAGTCGGACAGGTGGTTCACATTTGTACACTTTGATTTTCTTGGCACTTTGATTCTCTTCTAAACTATATAACCCTTGGCAGTCAATTTTCTATCAGCTCTAGCCTGCAAGGGGTACAACACTTGTCTAGAGGCATGTGTCAATGTTCAGCACCAAATACAGTATTGGTAACAATACTGGGAGCCCCTGGTGGTGCAGCAGATTAAACCATTGAGTTGTAGAACTTGCTGACCAGAAGGTTGGTGGTTCAAATCCAGAAAGCAGGGTGAGCTCCTGCTGTTAGCCCCAGCTTCTGCCAACCTAGCAGTTTGAAAACATACAAATGGGAGTAGATCAATGGGTACCGTTCCGGCGGGAAGGTAATGGCGCTCCATGCAGTCATGGCAGTCAGATAACTTTGGAGGCTTAGAAATGGAGATGAGCACCACCCCCCAAAGTTGGACATGACTAGACTTAATGCCAAGGGGAAACCTTTACCAACTAACAAACAAATAAAGTCCTGGTAACAAACAAAGATCTCTGAAGCACCAGGAGGTTTTCTCTTCTTTCCTTTCTTTTTCAAAGAGAGTTCAAGCTGTCCTTTCAGAAGCAGTTGCGGTAGAAATAGAAGTAGTAATCAGTGAAAAATATCCCAGCATAGTTAGGATCAGTTGAACAGTCAGCAAGGTCCTGGCAGGACAGAGAAACAAACACAAATTAAGATACGGTCCCACTATCACTAAATGAGTTTTTTTCTCATTTTGAAACCAAAACTCACAGGAACAGCCACGCGAAAATGGTAGGCGCTCTCGTACAAAGACGCCACAGGAAGAACCCAAAGATGCTGCAATCCCTAAAAACACAAATGAAAGAAAGGCAACAACAGTAAGCTAGTTGTCAGTTTTGTTGGGCTTACATGTATCTCCAGGCTGGAGCATTTCCTAAACCACGTGGCCATCACGGACAAATCTTGTATAGCAAAACATATTATTCATCTTCCTGCCATTACATGGACATTATTCCATCATAGCAAAAATGTCACATGTGAAGCAACCCTAGGTCAGCTCTTAAGTATGCATATCTTGACAAATAAGGGCTTCATTGATTCCAGTCATCATTACTTAAACTGAAAACAGTCACATGAAATGTACTCGGCTAACTTTAGAAAATGAAGGTCAAAAGGTCTTCCAGATACAATGAATCCAAAATCCTTTGTGTAAGCATATAAGAAAATGCATACAGCTTTTACAAAGCTTTGCCAGGCTATTTCAAATATTTGAAAGGACATATCGTTTATCACATGACTTCATTACATTGATGCTTCTAAACCCAACAATATCTAAGAGAAAATGGTCTGTGTTTCCTTTTAATTGTTTCTTTACTGACAGATAACATAAACAAAAGCTAGACAGAAATTGATTAAAAATAGTAGTACCTGTGTGGTTTCCTGAAAGAATTCACTCTTCTTATGAGATGGTAGATGATAAAAGCAATGCTTTCCAAATGTGATTTTGCATTGGAATATAATCAATGGTTCTGTTGTACTTAAAAGAAAGCAAAATAACATGAAAAGCTGTAAAGTTCTATACTAATCTTTGACAAACAAGGTTAAATTCTAAGAAAGAACATGGTGGTACTAAAATATCCATATAAGTCAAAACAAGCAAAGTGCATAAGGCAAATGCTGACTTAATTTTTTATTATGTTTATTTATATCCTGCTTTATCTCTCAAAGCAGCTCACAACTAAAACATTTCAATACAACTTAAAATATACAAATATTAAAACAGCATTAAACAATCCGGGTTAAAACCATAAAATCATATAAAATCACATCACAAAATCACAGTAGCCCTTGATGGTCTTGAACACCTTCATCTTTAAAAGCCTGCCTGAATTAGCCTGCCACCGGAAGGACAGCAGGGAGGGGGCCATTCTGGCTTCCATAGGCAGGGAGTTCCAGAGTTGCGGGGCAGCCACCAAGAAGGAAGGACCGCTCTTTCATTCCCACCAGCCAAGCTTGAGATGGATGTGGAACTGAGAGAAAGGCCTCTCCTGAAGATCTTACAGCCCAGGCAGGTTTGTGATGTGGTTTGTGATGTGGTCGGCCAAATAGCCTGAACCTGAATTGTCTAGGGCTTTAAAGGTCATAGCCAGCATGTTGAATTGTGCCCGGTAACAGACTGACAGCCAGGGGAGCTGCTGAAACAGTATCCATCCCCAGTGAGCAACCTGGCTGCAGCTCTTTGGACCAGCTGAAGTTTCTGAGCACTCTTGAGAGGCAGCCCCATGCAGAACACATTACAGTAATCCAGGTGGGATGTAACTAAGGCGTATACCACCTTGGCCTGATCTGACTTCTCAAGGAACGGGTGCAGTTGACGTGCAAGTTTTAATTATGTAAAGGCCCTCCTGGCCACTTCTGACACCTGGGCTTCCAGGTTCAGTGCTGAGTCCAGAACTCCAAAACTCTGGATGACTTCTCCCAGTGGTTTCATTTATTTGTTGAACAGCATGGGGGACAAAATGGAACCCTGTGGAAGCCTACAGGTCAATGGCAGGGGGTTCAAACAGGAGTCCCCCGGGACCACCTTCTGCCTACAGCCCTCTAGGAAGGACTGGAGTCACTGTAAAACAGTGCCTCCCAGTACCATCCCAGCAAGATGACTCAGAAGGATAGCATGGTCAATGGTATCAAAAGCTGCCGAGAGGTTCAGGAGAATCAACAGGGACACATTTTCCCTGTCTAGCTTTCTGCAGAGGTCATCCACCAAGTTGACCAAAGCTATCTCTGTTCCATAGTCAGGCCTGAAACCAGATTGAAATGGATCTAGATACTCTATCTCATCCAGAAATCCCTGGAGTTGGGAGGCCATCAAACACTCCAAGACCTTACTGAGAAAGGGGAGGTTGGACACTGGCCGGTAATTATCCATTATAGAGGGGTTCAGGGATGACTTTTTAAATAGAGGCCTCACAACTCCCTCCTTTAGGCAAGTTGGAACTTTGTCTTGTTCCAAGGAAACACTGACCATCTCCTTTACCCACTCTGCCAGTCCCCCTCTGGCCTGTTTGATCAGCCAGGAAGGACAAGGATCTAAAATACATGTGGTAGCAAATGGAAGAGAATTCTGCTGAAAGATAAATCTAATTCTATCTACTAAAGTTGCTCAGAGAGCAACAAAGAACCATCGAAACCCCACAGAGACTAAGGAATATTTTAAAAAATCACAATAGTGCATTGGTAACAGAAGCACATGAAAGAAATCAACATGTTAAAGAAATTACAAACAACTACATATTTGTGCTTATTTTTACATTTAATTGCTCAAGTGATTCAACCACTGTAAGACCACTGTCATTGCTAGTGCCATCAGTGGAAGAGGTGTCTTCATCTAACCAGGGTTTGGTTCCCACTAAGCCATGGAAATCAACTGAGTGACATATCATACTCTTAGCCCCAGAAAACCCCATGACAGGATTCTTGGATTCCTTAGGGTGGCCGTAAATCAGAAACGACTTTAAGACATAAAATATCAATATGGGGATATGAAATGTATAATGTCATACTTCCCCACTCCTCCTCTCTGTTCCCAAGCAGGTTGAGGTTGCTTTTACTAAAATTCATTTTCCTTTAAATTATTCTGCCATAATTGTGAAATTGCAGCAAAAGTAAATTTAAAAAATCGAAAGCCCGTATGCACTGGGTAGGTCATGTATAGACAGAAATGCGGGGTTAACAAAATAGTACAGAAGAGTAATTGTAGGGCCAAAGCAGCACCATAATGCAATTGCAGAGAAGTGTGATACTGATTGTCTCAAAACTGGTATGTTTCCATTTGCTTCAACAACACAATTGCTGCGAGACAACAAGCTGGTGTGATAAAGTCCCAAAACAACTGGAGGGCATACAGGTCTCAATTCCTAGTGTAAAATTCAGCAGGATGCTACTTCGTTTTACCCTTCATTTTGTAATACGCCTCTCTTACGAAATAATATAAGATTGGCTGGCAGCTCTGTATAGGTCAACTGCTTGGCATTTATTATGAAGGAGTAAATCTGTTGCAACCATTTATATTGGTGCCATAATTATCATCAACTACTGTGATATTCCTTTTATCTTGTACTTACTTGATTTCTAGTGTGATTTTTACCTTGAGAGGCGTGTGTTTGTTAAGGGGAATGATGTAACTATAATTTCCAGACCTGAAATAATACAGATTGACAACATTTGAGATATGAAAAGTCTCAACAAATAACAATACTTTTGAGATATTTATGAAATTATGAAAGCAAATTTAGCAGAATAATAAACTATTGAATTATTTGAATGGGAAAAGAACGATATGAAATAATTCAGCTTTACAATCTAGCAAAAGAATAGACTAGTCAGTTATTTGAATGGAGCAAAGTTGAAATGGTTCAACTCTTCACACAATAGTAATCTTATGAAGTATTTATGTGGAAAGTGTTGTCTCACACTAAATTAAATTAAACTTGAATAAAATCACTATTGAATGGGCTATAAGTAGAAAGATGATGGTTTTGTGCATAGTATCCAGTCTGCCTGTTATGATTTAGCTAAGATCTGAAACACGCAGAAAATGAGAAATATGTGGAAAAACTTGCCTGTCCAGAAATTTTACATCCACTTGTACAGATAAGCATCCCAAGCCTATAGTATATGATTTTGCTTGAATAAAGAATTTACAGAAATATCTGACAAGAAGAAACTCTTTTGAGTTGGACATGGCTCTTGGATACTTCCTATAGTTTAAGTGAAAACATCTGACAAGAGATCTTCTAGTTGTTTTATTGTTACAGCAGTATAACAAAATCACCACTTTGGGCTACTGCATCAGACAAGAGAAACATAAAATAAGCCTTTTACCTACCCACATTGTAAGTTTCTTCTGCAATAGCGACGGTCTATTTTCTGCTGTGACTCCAAGATCTGCATGGAACTGATTGTTGTATCAGTCCCTAAGAATAAAAAATAATAATACATGTCAACATGTGCACATACCCTCAAAATCATTTCATAAACTGAGAAATAAGGGCAAGATTGACACTTAAGAAATGAAAAACAGGACAAAATGATACCAATTACATCACAGTAGGGGAGCAACTGGTTTTCCGGAATAAAAATTGTTGTACAAGATTGGATTATGCTTTTTCTTTATCACCTCCCATGCTTCAAATTGCACATGTTATCATCCTTGCGAGAACTACCACGAGAGGCAACAAGACAGATTAAAAGTGAATACAGTCCACAGCATAAAACTTGCAAACTATCACTTTCCCCTCTTACAAGTGTTATCAGTCTTTTGACTTTGACATTTTGCTTTCATATTCTCACAGGCATAAACCAGCCTTTTGAAGGAGAAAAAGAACTCCGAAAGTGACCCTACAAATGATCTTGCAAGATTTTCTCTGATACTACAACTGATTTCCTTCACATTCCACCCAAAAGACTTCAAATCTGAAATGCAGCATAGTTCAGTCACCCCATGACAATACTGCCATTTTAAACATGCGAAGCCAAGTTGCCTCATAGCAAAATAAAATTCAACAATATTGCTACCAATTGAAGCTTTCCCTTGTATTGGGCAGACATAAATTTAGGGAAACAATTGCCAAGGGTTGAGGATGGGGGAAGCTTAAACCTTCCCTATAGAGCAGTGGTTCTCAACCTGTGGGTCCCCAGATGTTTTAGCCTTCAACTCCCAGAAATCTTAACAGCTGGTAAACTGACTGAGATTTATGAGAGCTGTAGACCAAAACACCTGGGGACCCACAGGTTGAGACCAATGCCATCGAGAGTTATCCCGATCTGGATTGTGGGTACTTGGCCTTGGGCAAGTACTTCTTTTAAATGAGATTTTAAGCCACATTGAATGAGACACCAAGCAACATGCTACATATGGTACAGGCTAAATATCCCTTATCTGAAATGCTTGGGACCAGATTTGCATTGGAGTTCAAATTTTTTTGAGAATTTTAGAATACCTATATTTACACAGGTATACACTATGGACGATCTTGGAGATGGAACCCAAACATAAACATGAAATTCATGTATGTATCATATGTGCTTCATACCTACAGCCTGATGGAAATTGTATACAATATTTTAATAATTTTGCACATGAAACAAACTTTATGTAAATAAACTGGACCATCAGAACACAAAGGTGTCATTCCCTCAGTGACTCATGTGAACAATTTTGGATTTTGGAGATTTTGGATTTCACAATTCTGGATAAGGGATGCTCAACCTGTTTTGTGTAGTTTAGTCTTTGCTATGAATACCGTGAGAGAAACAGAAATGTGGGCTGAGTTTTCTGAGACTCCATTTATACAGATTCAAAATGCAAGGGGTATGAATCATGGGACAGAACTGTTCTCAGCACCTTTGTGATGTTCCATAATTATTTGCATAGAAACATTTTTATGATGTATTTCATGGTATTATTCACATTGGGATTGTTGAAAGTATAGCACCGTAGCCCGGGGGGGGGGGCACTTAAGAGTTCCAACCCCCCCCCCCCCCAAAAAAACTGGTTTACTCAAGAATTTTAACTGGTTAACCAAGTTATGAGTAAACCATGTTTCTTTTTTAACCTGACACATTTCAGGGCAGGGTTGAATTTTTAAACCCCCCCCCCCCCCACCCAGGCTACGGCCTTGAACTTTACTATACTTTTAACAATTACTTAGTTAAAACAATACTTTTAACTAGTACTATATAGTACTATTATTAACTTTTGAGGCTGCAGTGGTGCAGCAGGTTAAACTGTTAATCTGCAGAACTTGCTGTCCAGAAGGTCAGCAGTTTGAATCCGCAAATGGGATGAGCTCCTGGTGTTAGCCCCAGCTTCTGCCAACTTAGCAGTTTGAAAACATGCAAATGTGAGTAGATCAATAGATACCACTTCAGTGGGAAGGTAACGATGCTCAGTGCAGTCATGCCGGCCACATGTCCTAGTAGACATCTATGGACAACACCGGCTCTTTGGCTTAGAAATGGAGATGAACACCACCCCCCAGAGTCGGACTCAACTGGATTTAATGTGAAGGGGAAACCTTTACCTTTTAGTATTACCGTTGGATCAGTTCAGTGTTTAGTCAAGCAAAGTTTGAAATTTCAACTACAACACCCCGAATCCCACTGGAAACTCTTTCATGCCATCCATGAAAGATGGGAAATGTGGTAAAGAAAATTGGTCCTTGAACCCACTATGCTTTCTTGACTTTCCAAACAGGACATGCGCTTAAAATAGTTAAAAATGTGTTCATGTAATAAGAATGTGTAATGAACCCATGAAGGAAGGAGAAACATTTGAGAACCCAGCTGGACTTCCCTCTTGCAACAAATCAGTTCTCTTTGGTAACATATAGCAGAAGGAAAATACTCAGCAAATCACATCAAATAGATTTCCTTAAAGCAAAGAAATTATGATGAAACCTACAGATACTTGATAGATACAGAAGCTGTCCCTAGCAATAAGCTATATACACAACCACACTAACCCAGATAACGGACGATTTACAGCAGGGTTGGGGAACCTCTGGTCCCTGACCTAATATTTATGCCATTCGCAACCTAATTTCAAAAACATTCTGCAAACTATCAAGTCAGATCTTTGGCTTGAGCAATTTGTTCATCCTCTGGATGGATGAAGTGGCGTGAGAGGATATCAGAAAAAAGAAAATGAGTACAATGTGGGAAAGAGCAGGGAGGGCTGCACTATTCTTATAGTAGTTATGATTTCACAAGTAAAGTATATATCGTCCTTCTTCTGCCTCAAAAATAACATGGAAAAATAAATTTTGGACTACAACTCCCAAACTCCTCTAGCTAGCACCATTTTGGCTGGAGGATACTGGGCCACTTTCCCCCAACTTTGCTTTAATAAAAGTAATAAAAGTGCTTTGGAAGGATTTTTTTAAAGATTAAGGAGAGCTCACAGTCATTTCCAAGGTCAGGCTTCTCAATCCAGTTTTGTTCTGCTAGTTCTTTTCCTTTATTTCCTGAGGGAAGAATAAACATTTATCACCATAAGTGCCTTCACGAATTGAAACAATTATATGATTCAGTCATCCAGAAATTCTCAACACATAGAAAAATGAAAGATGTTTGTAGATCAATGCACCTTATGATAAAATCTCGGCCCAAACCTCACAGACCATTTCTTTTGGAGCAGAGAAAAGTCTCCAGTGAGGGAAAAAGAATCAGAACTTGAGAGGCTGGTGTTAACTGTCTAATCTCATCCCCTGATCAATCTAGAAAAATCGATCAGGAAAAATGTAGAACTTGAAAATGTGTACTGAGCTTCTACGTGAAGACCTCCAGCATGAAGGAACTGGTAATTGTTAGCTTTTAAGAGTTAGCTCAACTGAAATTATGTACTTCTGAAATATAATAATGACGACGACGACAACAACAACAACAACAACAACAAGGACAACTTTATTTATAGACTGCCCTATCTCCCCAGGGGGATTCAGGGCAGTTTGCACACAAAAAATGCAAACATTCAATGCCCTACGCAAATACAAACATCTTAATAATAATTCAAGATAATGCAAAATAATAACCATAAACTTATAACAAAGCAAAAGTTAACATCAAAATGAAAAACAAAATACAAATAATCAAATAAATATAATTATACTGATAATATAATTAACAATTTAGACATAGACCCTGAGAAGACAATTAAAATACATAAACATGGCTATCATGGTTGTTCTTTCTCATGCACCACAGCAGCAGTGGAATACAAATAAATTAGCTAGCATTCTGATGGAGTTAAAAGTGTCCTAGTCCTCCTCCTCCTCTCCATACACTAAAGTGCATAAGTGCGTCTTCAAGAGTTTTTTTAAGAAGAGGAGGGTGGGTACCATTTTTATTTCTTTAGGGAGGGAGTTCCAGAGACGGGGAGTGATCATGAAAAAGGCCCCCTCTCTCGTTCTCACCAACCGTGCTTGTGACGGGGGTGGAACTGAGAACAGGGCCTCCTTCATTGACTACAGTGCATTATATGGCCTGTATAGGGAGATTAGACAAATAAAGCCAATTTGAATATTATGCTATTGAATTAAAACCAATGTATCAGAAAGAGATTGTGTTAGTCTTCTCCCCCTCCCCATTGTTGTTCTTCCTAACCTGCAAAATAAAGACTCCCCATATGATTCAGAGACCCATTAGTCTTGTCAGTGTTCTCATTTTGTGGAAAGCATCAATTCACCTGTGGGCAGCACTGATCGAGAGCTTGCTTCCTCTTCTCATGCACAGATTATAACCAAATCAAACAAAGCTATGGAGATTTAATTCTGACATATTTCATATTGCCATTTTTCAAATCATGTTCTGGAGAACCTTGGACTTTCTCAGTAGCCTAACTGAAGTTCATCAGTGAGAAGAGATTCACTTGTGGAGCAGAGTCCTCTCTCAAAATGATGAACTTGCTTATATTTCTGAACAGAACTGCAAAAGCAGACTGGAATGGCAGATGAATCTAACTTTAATACTAGTGGCAGAACTGCACTTTTGCCCCATGCCGTAGTTCATAAGCTACAACTTTCACTATCCCATTCCCTTGTTCCTTGTTACAGTTGGGCATGTTTTACAACACTTCTCACCATAGGTTATTGGGCACTGTTTTGAGTTTAAATCGTTGTTTTATATGCTAGTTTTATCTTTTATTGTATTGTGCGTTTATTTTATACGTTGTTCTAAACACATTGAGCTGTGTGTAAGCCGCCCTGAGTCCCTTCAGAGAGATGGGAGTGGGGTACAAAAATAAAGTTTTTGTTGTTGTCATTTCCCAGCACACATAACATATAGACAATTCTGGATGGTTGTGTGGATTATTTATCCCCCAATAGAGGAAAATAATCTGAAAATTCACTAGGAACAGTGGTGAGGCTACAGCACTGTCTACTAGACTTGGGCATTAGGGACTTACCTTGATAATAATAATAATAATAATAATCATCATCATCTTTATTTATACCCCACCACCAACTCCCCAGAGGAGACTCGGAGCGGCTTACATGAGGCCAAGCCCGGTAATATATTACGGCAAACTAAATACAGAACGAAGAAAAAATAACATCACAATAAAATAAGTAAAACATACAAGCAAAATAAAACAGTGAAAAATAACACAGTGAAAAATCACACACAGTGGGTGGGCCAAATGCATGACATAAAATGATAAAACTCTGAATGAGATAACAATAAAAAGGTATATTTGTAAGGGAGGAGCAGTGGAGTCAGGACTTCGGTATGGTGGGGGAAGTGCAATATGAGGACAACATTGTGGGAGAAATAGCAGGAAAGAAATATAGCGTCACTCTCCAAAGGCACATCGGAAGAGCCAAGTTTTTAGATCCTTCTTAAAGGCTGCTAGGGTGGGGGCTTGCCTAATCTCACCAGGTAGTGAGTTCCACAGCCAGGGGGCCACAGTGGAGAAGGCTCTCTCCCTCGTTCCCACAAGTCTTGCCTGTGATGGAGGAAGGAGCGAAAGAGGGCCTCCCCCAAGGATCGAAGAGATCGTGCAGGTTTGTGGAAGGAGATGCGGTCATGAAGGTAGGCGGGTCCCAAACCATTTAGGGCTTTATATGTGATAACCTACTGTCTACTGCTTGTGGCAGCTGGCTCACTCTGCTCTATACAGTGTTTAATAAAAATATTAAATATTTACGTCCAGTGGAGGCCAGGGAGGGCAGGGACCCCATAAGAGCCGCCGCAAACTAGCCTCCTGCGGGAGCAAACTGCCAGCACGTCCATGACGTCATGAGACTGCGCCTCTCTCTCCGCCCCTTTCTCCGCCTCTTTCTCCGTGCCAGCGTGGTTTTTCCTTTGCTAGGGCAGCATTGCCAGCGTACTCTCGTTGTTGAATTCTGTCAACAACGAGAGTACGCTGGCAATGCTGCCCTAGCAAAGGAAAAACCACGCTGGCACGGAGAAAGAGGCGAAGAAAGGGGCAGAGAGAGAGGCGCAGTCTCATGACGTCATGGATGTGCTGGCACAATTTGCTCCCGCAGGAGGCTAGTTTGCGGCGGCTCTTAAGGGTAGCAGCAAACTCTGTTCCTGCGGGAGCAAACCTTGCTAGCATGTCCCTGACGTCATGAGACTCCGCCTCTCGCCCCGCCCCTTTCTCCGCCCCTTTCTCCTTGCGAGAGTGGTTTTTCCTTTGCTAGGGCAGCATTGCCAGCATACTCTCTCAGTTGGCAGAATTCAACTGAGAGAAAATGCGGGCAATGCTGCCCTAGCAAAGGAAAAACCACGCTGGCAAAGAGAAAGGGGCGGAGAAAGGGGCGGGGAGAGAGGCTCATGACGTCAGGGACGTGCTAGCAAGGTTTGCTCCCGCAGGAACAGAGTTTGCGTCGGCTCTAAGTGTGGCGGCCTGAGGCGCAGTGGGGAAGGCCTGCCTCCTTGGCCTGCTGCTGCCTGCGTGGCTCCGGAGGCTCTGCAAAGGCCAGGATGGGTAGGGATGGGCCAGGAGACAGGTAAGGAAGCACGGGTAAGAAAATAATATATAAAATATATAAAATAATGTATAAATATTAAAATTGATATGGCATCCCAACTTTGCGGATTTTCACTTATTGTGGGTGGTCCTGGAATGGAACCCCCATGATAAGTAAGGTGACACTGTAATGATAGAGCCAGTCTGAACCTAAGCTTTCAATGTACACCAACAGAACACAGGTGTTATCTTAATCAGATATCCTGCCAAGAAGTTGCCATAAGAAAAAGAACAGTTTCCTTTAAAATATCATAAAACGTGGCAAAGCATTTAGTGACACTTTAAAGGGCTTCCTTTACAATGCTATAAAACCTGGCAAACCATGTGGTGGGTTCTGAAATTCCTTACCTAGGTGTCTTCAAGGAAAGGCAAGAAAGCCAGAAGTGCTTGGCAAAGCTATCTTGTCTTAAACAACAAAGAGTTGTACGGCCCAGTGAAGGCTAACATAGTTTATTTTCACATTAACTCTTATAGAATATACCCTACTTCATCAGCCGCAATGGTTTCTGGCAATGAGAGCTTGGATCACAAAATATTGTTAGCTTTTAAGCTGCCGTTTTTACCTGCTGCAGCCTAAATCTGGCTACTCCTGTCTTGGAAATGATCTGTTGATTGATAATTATTGTTTAAGAGCTTGCAATTCTGAGTCAGTTCATGCTCTCACTTTTAATTGCTATTTTTTCTGCCTGGTTATCACAGAGCATTCAAACAGCCACAACAACATAGAAAAATCACTCCTGAGCAACAATTTGATATTTTCATACTTACTGTAGGGGAAAATGTTACCATTATCACAAAAAGACTGCTAAGTATATTCCTCCTTCTCTTGACCAACAGCAATACAACATCTATTCCTGGTTTAACTTACTTTCTTCTTTTGTATTCATTGTCAGGTAACTCAGCTCACTTCTTTCACCCGGATGCATTGGACAGCAGTACGTTCTGTGACAAGGTAAAATGTCACAGAAATTCACTTCAGGGATGATATTGGTAGGTCTTGGGTTTGGAGGCATCGTTTTGTATTTAGTGATGGTCACTGCAACAGAAGAAATCCATCTGTAACATGCATAATTATCCATAGTAAATAAAAACCCAAATTTTGTGTCTAATTCTAAAACTTGAATACATTATACTAAGTTTTCATATTTGTACGGATATTTTTGTGTAATAGAAAAATTCTTCCACTTCAGTGTTTACTCTCCAGTTCTACAAAAGGAGCAACATATGCTCTGGCAAATGAAATTTTATTTCCATATCTCAGACTAATTTTTCTGTAATGTAGCATTGGCAATTATGATTTTAACTGTATGCCATGGGGATCAGTTTCTTCTAGCCAGCCCCCAAACTAAGCCATGATTCCAAGGATGTAAAATCCTACGCCTGATACTAAGAGAGCAACCTTTTTTCGTATCAGGAGCGACTTGAGAAACTGCAAGTTGCTTCTGGTGTGAGAGAATTGGCTGTCTGCAAGGACATTGCTCAGGGGACCCCTAGATGTTTTACTATTCTGTGGGAGGCTTCTCTCATGTCCCTGCATGGAAAGCAGGAGCTGACAGACAGGAGCTCACCCTGCTCCCTGGATTTGAACCACCGATCTTTCGGTCAGCAGTCGTGCCAGCACAAGCGTTTAACCCATTGCGCCACCGGGGGCTCTCAGAGGAACTGTGGGGAAGATTCAAGTATTGTCTGCCCAGGATACCTTTGCTTCCCATGAAATGTTTCTCGACTTTCCATATTTCTAGCACTGCAGTAACTTAACACCACTGTTGGGAATTTGGAAAAACAATTCAGGCATCCAAAAAGAGTCAGCAGGAAAATGTACCAACTGAATGTAAACAGAGTAGAGCTAAGAGTTCTAGATTTGAATGATTCACACTGTTTCATTACTTGCAATGCTAGAAATTGTTATTTGGGGTAATGTTTTCATCCCTCCTCCTGCTGCTATTCTCTGCACACACCTAATTTTAAGGTCACATTGTACAATTTCAGATTTCCCAATAACTGTTGCTTGACATTTTTCAGGCTCAGATATGAGTTTATATTGTAGTACCTGGCAGAGTGGTGGATGGAGGGATTGTTATCCGACTGGTCGACATGCTAAGAAAGAGTGATAAATAATATTAGAAGTTCCAATAGAATAGCAACGTTGATGTATAAACATGTTTAATTGTCTACAACAAATGATGAGACAGGAAGATCTCTCAAACAAATACAATGAAGTGAGAGCTCTCAGAGCAAATGTTTACTGTTGGGATTCAACAATGCTTACATAAGAAAATAGCCCTCATGATGGGAAATTGATAGATCAGAAGATACGGTTTTAGAAAGTTTCGTAGGGAAGCCCATCCCTTGACTGATTCTTTCACTTCATCAGTCCTGCCTGCACCTTTAGTGTTTAGACCAATGATGGGCAACCTTTTGAGTTCGCCATCATGGGTTTAGACTGATATTCTTAGGGCTACTCCCCTTCCTTGTTTCCAGTCCAGCGGAGTTGATGGCGGAGGAGCATTGCTTCAATGCTTGTGGTCTTTGCTTCTTCCAGCATGCTGACATTTGTCCGCCTGTCTTGCCAAGAGATTTTGCAGGATTTTTCGGAGGCAACACTGACAGAAGCATTCCAGGAGTTGAGTGTGACGTCTGTAGACAGTCCATGTTTCGCAGGCATATAGCATGGTTTAGAGGACAATAACTTTATAAACTTTATTAAACAAGCACCTTGGTATCCCTAGGGATGTCTCAGTTCTCAAACACTCTCTGCTTCAATCGGAAGAATGCTGCATTCGCAGAACTCAGGCGGTGCTGTATTTCAGTGTTAGTGTTGAGTTTTGTGGAAAGGTAGCTGCCAAGGCAGCAGAAATGGTCAACATTTTTGTAATGTTACATCATTAAGCTGTATTTCTGGCATTGCAGAGGGATTGACTGGTGACTACTGGAAGAGCATATGCTTTTATTATTTTTATGTACACAGGCTTATCCCCATATAGCATGTTCTTCATATAAATAACTGAAAGAATCATGCCTAGTCAATATAAGAAAGCTGGACTTTCTTGTCTTTTGATGATCAGTAATATTCAAGGCTTTGTTCCCCCTGTTCTGTTTTACCCTCTATTAATTCAATAAAATGTTTTGGGGTGGTTAAAGAGAAGTGCTTCAAATACCTTGAGTAAGCTATCTGTCCCCCATAACTCTTCCAGTGAGAAGGAAGAATAGCCAAGGAATCTGATAAGCGTCGAAGTGTTGAACCATATGAGTTGAGGTGGGGGGTGGGGGAGTGTTTGCTGGGAAGTGTCACTGAATACTCCAAGATAAACAGAAATGTCATCTTTTTTAAAGAGAAGCAAAAAAATACGGCACCCAATAGCAGTATTTACTGTCGTATCAGCTGGTGTAGCTCTCTTTCTCCTTCCTAAACGCATGCGAGAATGAATATTTGCAATGGGTTTCTTCCTGCTCTGCACAATTATAAGAATTGCTCAAGCTTTTGACAATTTTTTGAACTTCAGAGACAGTGATGAAAACACTATTTACCCAAAAATAATGACCCCAAAAAACCTTTAAGCAATTTCTTTTTTGTTAAGGATGATAAAATTTGCAAGTATTCTTTCTATCTCTATTTCACACAAGAGCAGAATTCAACCCCCTTGGAGGCAATCTTTCTAATATGCAGCCTGCTACCATTTTACAGTAAATATTTGAATGCTTTAAATAATCCATTATCTACCCAGAGTATTACACAAGGAAGAAATTAAAGCCCATATGAACAATATATCGGTTACTTGCCTGGATCCAGATTGGACAACGTCTTGCTCTGGGATACTCAGTATATAAAGGGTGCATATGGTCATAATGCTGGAATGAGATAATTAAGTTTACAAACTGAGATCTCTATTTGTATACAAAAGAAAAATAGAAAAACTAGAAAAAGGTTATACCAATCCCCACCCTTCTTAAGTACCTCAAATAAATCCAATTTGATTAACAGGGATAGGGAAGAAGTGTGTATGTGATTTTTCTGCCTCATGTACCAGAATACCCAAATCAGTAAATATTTTAACTTTTAAAAATTATTGACATTATATGTGCATAGAGTACTGGATGGGAATGCCTAAATCTCCTCTCAGGCTGGTAAACCCACTGGGTGGCCTTGGGCAAGTCACATTTTTCTCACCCTCAGAGGAAAGATAAGACAACCCACCTTTCAAAGAAAACCCAACTTATGGCACCTTAGGATTGCCATAAATTGTAAACAATGTGAAGAAATAGAACAATAAAAATTTCTGTATACATACATTTTAATAAATTATATCTGACACTCATACAGGTAATAATTATAGTTGGTTTACCTGGAAGCGCTGATTAAAACAGCAAAAATTACATCTAGTTAGTATGTTTTTCTTGCCAAGGGGCCATCACAAGACAAATCACCTCTAAAAAAAACCTTTCAAAGTAAACCCAACTTATGGCACCTTAGGATTGCCATAAGTTGTAAACACTTTGAAGGAACAGAACAATAACAATGTCTGTATACATATATTTTAATAAATTACCTCTGATGCCCATACAGGTGATAATTATAGTTGGTTTATCTGGAAGTGCTAATTAAAACAACAAAAATTACATCTAGTTAGTATGTTTTTCTCACCAAAGGGCCATCACAGCAACCAATGCAATTACAATTATCTGGAAAATCCTATAGCTGGTCCATGACTGTTTTTTTGCTGGAAAACAAACCTAAAAGAGAATAAGAGAGGAAGAAAGTCCAGAGTAACCTGTATGAAACCTTGCAAGCACTTGGTATACAACATTTTACGGAAATGTCCCAATTTATTCAGAGGAAGGCTTGGCTCTCTCTTGTTCCAGGTCTAAAAGCATAGATTTAGACAACCATCCTCTTGGCTCTAAATCTTTTGCATCAAACAGTAAGCTAGATTAGAAAGTCTTAATGTCTAGATCTAAGATGCTATGAAGCATGCCAAATGGCAGCAACTAGTACTTCCATGTCACCTAAACTTTATGGTGCTGAACCTGTGTTGACGATAGAGTCCTGTGCCTTAAATAGTTCCTTCTATCTATGGTCTGATAGAGTAGATGCACTGTCCTGCTGGCACAAAAATAATCAACGATCACTGATGCCTATATGTATATTCTACTGTCTGCAATTAGAATAAGATGTCAATCGTCAAATATTGACAATCACATTATAGTCCGGTTGCTATCTGTCAACATGTATTATAAAACAAGTACTAAAAGTACTCTAGAAGAAATTATTATTTCCTAAGATCCAAATACTGCAGATGGATGGCTGCCCTCCAGACTGCAAGAGGTGGAAATTTGTAGTATTTCCTTCTAATGTTTCTGCACTGCAGCTCATATCCTCCATAACTTCCATTGCGCATTGGCTGATAGGAAAGGCAGATGAACCCTGGAGTTGTGCACCTTATTCATTTTTGCTATGGAACTATGTTTGTTCAGAAGAAAGGACCTCATCCCATGACTTACGAAAAACGGGGGGGGGGGGGGGGGGGGGGTTGTCTTGTTAGAGCCTCATCAAACACGAGCTTTTATCCACTTTAATCCACTTTAAATGCTGTGACTACCTCCTGCACAATTCTGGGTTTTGTAGTTTAGGGAGGTCCAGGGCTTCTCTGGATGAGCAGTTTAAATGCCCCTCCCTAAACTACAACCTTAGAATTCTGCAGGAGGCAGTCACAGCATTTAAAGTGGATTAAAGTGGATAAATGCTCAAGTGTGATGAGACCTTTAGTATACAGGAGCAGCTGAACCATAAGGCAGATTACGCTTTTGCTTAGGGTGCTGTCCTCCAGAGGGCATCCCCGTTGTCAACGCTGGGACGCGTCCCTCTCCCAGCATTGGCAAGTGGGTAGGGAAGAGGCACTGGGAGCGCGCATCCAGGGGCTGCGTGAAACTGACTGTGGAGGCCATGCTTCACTGGCCCCTGGGCGTGTACTCACAGCCCTCTTTCCCCCATGGTGAAGCCACCTCTGTTAGTGTAGCACAGGGGTCCACAAACTTTTTAAACCAAGGGCCAGGTCACAGTCCCTCAAACTGTTGGAGGGCCAGATTATAATTTGAAAAAACATGAATGAATTCCTATGCACACAGCAATATCTTATTTGTAGTGCAAAAAACACTTAAAAACAATACAATTAAAATGAAGAACAATTTTAACAAATATAAACTCATTAGTATTTCAATGGGAAGTGTGGGCCTGCTTTTGGCTGATGAGACAGGATTGTTGTTGTTGTTGTGTGCTTTCAAGTAATTTCAGACTTAGGTTGACCCTGAGTGAGGGCCAGGTAAATGACCTTGGAGGGCCGTATCCGGCCCCCGGGCCTTAGTTTGAGGACCCCTGGTGTAGCATATCATCCCATTGTGTTTAAAAAGAAATTGATTCATTTTTAAAATCCCATCACATGCTCCTATTTTCAATCCTTTCTCCCGAAATGATCTGCGTTTTTTATCACACAATCAAGTACTGTCCCCTCCCATTTCTTTTGGGAAAGAAGTGGGCGGGGACAGTACTTGGGAAAGAAATGGAGCATCAGTGCTCAGTAGGATACCGACCATAGGAATGCCCATTCCTCCACATCATTCAACAACATTCAAAACAATTTTAAAAACATGTTAAAATAATACAAATTGTGAAAACAATGCTCTTAAAAACAGAACAGCACTCTGTGAAAGCCCTTTCTTTAAAACCATTTAATTCTCAAAAGACACATGCTATAATATTTTTTAAAAGATAGTGTATCCCTTCACAATGTGCATGTTTGGCTTTCCTCACCTTGCTAGGTTTTGTGGTGACTGGTTTTCTTGATGGTAAGTAAGAACCAACCTGGCTAAATTTCCTGGAATGTCAAAAACATGTGTTATTTTTTCCAGCTCATCGTAACCGTAAGTAACAAATCAAAAAGAAAAATATTAGGATAGTCAAATTGGCAAGGATGAGGGATCACAGAAGTCTAAATTTCAGCAGGCAAACTTTATCTTTGGCATGAACAGATGAATGCTGTTAAACATCGCTTACGCTTATACATTCCTATTTATTTATTTATCATATTTATGGAAGTCGCAAGAATACATTGCATTTGTTAGAAAATGGAATGTGATGAAAAACCAATTTGTCAGGCTGTGGAATCTTACAAAATTATTAATATGGGGTTTCTCCTTTTGAATATGGAAGTGCTTATTTCAAACTGTAATAACATAATTTGGAACTTGACATAATAGAACAGCAATGTTATCCCAACCACATTCTTTTTTTAAAAACTGAAAATATTTATGTAATTTTTTTAATTGTCAGAGTAATTTGGCTCAACTCAATTGTTCATAAATAGTGTGTGTCAAACCATAGATTCTAGCTTGCACTGAGAAATTTATATACCTCCTTGGGTTGTTTTCAGTAGTTGTCAATGACTTAAAGCTGTTTGTCCGTTTCAGTTTAGCCAGTGTCTTATTCCACTTTTCCAACTCTTCTATCCTCACTTCGAGATTGTTTGTTAATTTGCAGAGCTGCTTCACAGCACCCACATTTTCCATAAAAATTTGGTCCTGGAAGACAAAGATGGAAGAAGTTAACTAATCAACAAAAAGCAAAAAAAAAAGTAAGTGCAAGGATTTGTATAAAGTCTAGAAACATTTTTAACATGCTATTGGCTACATTATTCCATGAGTTGTAGTCCAAAAAGTAATGCTTGTAAGTGCTGGTACAGATCCTAGAGTAAATACTGAAATTACTGCTTCCAGTTTATTTAAAATATAAATCTACCTCCCTACCTAATACTGTATTACAAGCTGCTTTTGAGACTATTCTCAGTTTCAAAAGTGCTTTGGCAGACAGCAGTGGGAACACAACCACAAAGCTCATTTGGAACCACAGAATTAGTTGTGCAGATGTTTGCATACTGGCCTTCATATCTCACTCTTCAATTTCACCCTGGAGAGTCCTCAAATGTATGAAATACCATCACAAGTTAATTCAAAATAGATCATTCTGCTGGATCAGTAAATATTTCAATAAGTATACATATAGATGTAAAATACTTAAAATATGTCCCATCTGGAGTAGATTGCTACTGAGCACTTGTGCAGGGAAAGCAGCAGTTAATGAGAGGATACTGTGCACCACCACGCTAAAACATTTGTTTTGAATTAATGTTGTGCTCAAACACTAAATATATCATGGCAGGCAGCTGAGGTTTTTAAATGTTTTCCCCCTACAAACTGTTTCCCCATTGAAAGATTCAGAATTCCCTATTACACTGTACGTTCTGTGCATATCAGATGGTGCAGACAGGCTCAGCTGAGCCATTTATCTTGCAAGTCCAACACAACCACCCAAGGGAGAGAAAGACAGATGGAAATAGAGAGTCCCCCTTATGCTATTTCCGAAGGGCTAATTTATTTCTTTATTTTTATTTCTTTATTGATTAGCTAAGAAAGATGCATGTCACTGAAGAGACATAGGCGAGGACCCATCAAAACATCTCAAGGAGATTTATAGTTAGACTCCCCTTCCCCCTGTTTTTCTTTAGGGATTGCCTTCCTGTATTAGAAAAGTTACTGGAAAAGTTATTTTAGTCCCCTCCTTCCTCCAAGGAGCTCACTGTTTCTCTTTCCCTTTGTTGCTACTGTGTGTCTCCAATTCATTTCGGAATTAGAGAAACCCTAAGCTGACCCCTACGATGATGTTGAGAGTGTATGACCTCTCCAGGATCACCCAGTGGGTTTTCATGGCCAAGCAGGGATTTGAAACCTAGTCTCCAGAGTTGTAGTCCAGGATGTAAACCACTATGCCACACTGGATCTCTACTGTCTCACTTATTAGGGAAAACCAGTGTATTCTCTTGTTTCTGTTTAGAATTGCATACTGGCATTCATATTGGTCCAATTAGGGGGAATAGAATATGCAAATGCCCCATAACATCATATTATGCATAATGCTGCATTTGACTGAATTGCTTTCCCATGCTAATGTGTAACATGAACGCTATCATTTAGACTTGGAATAAAGTGGCTATTGTTCCATCTGTCGTTAAGCTGCTGCAGTATGCTTAAGCCATACAGAACCACCATTGTAAATGGTACACAGAGATGTTCTGTTTTGCTGGTAGCTATAATGTACAACCACATATAATATGTAGCATTAAAAATCTTCTAACTCATGCTAAGCCCACACAATTAATAGAAATAAGACATTTCACACTTGGTTTACTGAAGAGTTTCTACAAAACACTCATGCACTTGGAGTCATAAAAACCCTTGTTTTTATGGAATGAAGCTACACCATTTCCCAGTTGGGCAACAGATTCATGGCCAAATCCTCCTCATAAAAGAATAGGCTATATGAGGAGCGAGAATATAGATTTATTGAGCTGCAAATTTTTATGAAACCCCAATTCAGCACACTTCTAGATAGTGAGATGTTCACACTAGTAATCAGAAAGCACTGTCTGGCCATTCCATCTTTTTTTCTCTGGGGGAGAAAGAGAGAGAGAGAGAGAGAGAGAAAGCAGAGAAAAACAAAAAAGAGATACAATAGAGGTTGTATGATGTCCTCATAATATTCCATTGAAGGAAGCCAAGCAATAATGTGATAAAAAATGTCATCTGGAATCACTTTAAGGGTTTGGGAATTATCAGCAAATAGTGCAGAACAACAGAAGCATTTTGTGGTTTATAAAATAAAAAACAAAACTACTACAACAAACCCTACAACCTTTCAAAACCTTTGCCCCATCTGGGCAAGACTTAAAATAAACCCATTTAAATCCTGTCAGCATGCACAACTTAGACTCTATTTTAAAAATTGCAGTCTGAAATGGAGTAGCAAATGAACTCGGAGACACATCAATATGCATGCCTATGAGGGGCATTCATTAAAGATTTCCCCTGACCCACTTCCTGTGGACTGAGACCAATGAAACTTGGCACAATTATTAGTCCTTCTCTACATAGGTGCCACCTAGGGACACACTTCTCCCATTTTGTTAAACAACTCTAAACACCTCGCTTGAAGAACTCGACAGGTTGTGACTTTGGAAATCAGTCTCATCACCTTCAAAAATAACTTAATTGTTGGAAAGAGGTGGAAGTCCAATGGTGCGAGGTCGGTTGAATAAGGGGGATGCGGTAGAATTTCAAAGCCACAGGAGCATGCTTCCATTTGGGCAACATGTGGATTGTGAACTGGTGCATTGTCTTGCAGAAGGTGGACACCTTTGGTGAAAATGCCACGTCTCTTGGTTTTGATGGCCTTCCGCAATTTCCGTAGCAGTGAAGCGCAGTATACCCCAGTGATCATTGTACCCTTTGCTAGGAAATCCATCAATATTACTCTGTGTTTGTCCCAAAATGCTGTGAGCATGACCTTGCCTGCTGAGAGTTGAGCACGTGCCTTCTTTGGAGGCGGTGAATCATGATGCTTCCATTGCATCAACTGGACTTAAGTCTCAGGATCATAGTGATGGTCCCAGCTTTCATTCTGTGTGATCAGTCTGTTGAAAAAATCCTCCTGGTTTCCATGGCACATCGTCAATAGAGCCTGAGAGCATTATACTCCATCCTGCTTCTGGAAAGGTGTGAGAAGCCATGGGACCCAGTGACCGGATACCTTATACATATGAAGATGGTCTTGGATTATTTTTTCCATGGATCCTACTCTAATCTTGACATTTTGGGCTAGGTGGCAAATGGTTATGTGGCAATATTCCAAAATGGTTGATTAATGGACCATCCACTTTCTGGATGGTCCATTAATCAACAGCAGAGTGGGATTGCCCTGGAACTAGAGCTGTTTAAACCGAAGTCCGATCATATTTGAATCAGTAATGCCAGTTCTTGACTACATCATATGATGGGGAATTATCACCCTAAACCTCTTTCATCTCATTGAACGTCACCTTTGGTGTGCAGCCTTTCAAATAAAGGAATTTGATGACTGCTCTGTATTCCACTGGGTCCATGATCAAACCTCACACCACTTCAGCACCTGTAAAATCAAGACCGTTATCAGTTCTGAGTTGTAAATTGGCACATAACCTATAGAGACTTATATCATTACACATGTGCAGTTTCAGATAAATAGAAGTGGGTTAGGAGAAATCTTTAATGAACACCCCTCTGGAATTTACACAGCCAACCAATTTGGGTACATGAAACCCCATAAACACATCTCTTTCACTCTCTGGCAGGTAACAACCACTTGAATAACTAAAAACTAGCTATCCTTTCATGACTCCAAATCTTCTGCCTGGCATGGCCAGTGCTGTGAATGAGCAATAAAATTACCTTATCAACCATCAGGAAATCATCAACTTTTTCTCCATTTTCACACATAACATCTCCAACAGATCTTACAGCTCTGGGTAAAAGTTCTTGCACTTCCTGAGCAATTATTCCTGTTTACGAAAACAAGGACATGAGCACAATCAAAAGCAGTGCAACTCTTGTAATCTTACTTGGACTAATCAAAAGATTAGCCAAGATCCCCACATCAAAGAGATGTAATATAAGTTTACAGTCACAGATTTATACTTTAGTTGTGCTAGGCCACCTTCTTACAGAACTGTAACATTGCACAACTACATGTGCATTGTGCACTGGTGCTTAGTGAGAAAATGATGCGCAATGGCACCAAATGGCTGTCATGCAGTTAGTGGCATCCAATGGTGGACTCTTACAGAGCTTGGTATTCCCTTCCACAAAAGTCAATCCCCCACCCCCAATAAACCCTTGGAATTATTGTTAAGGTTCTACAACTACTGCATGTCTAATGGAGAGCATGCAGGGAATGTCCGGTTCTATCCCTGCAGTCAGATATAGGTCACATCTACATTGAAAGGAGGCAAGTCAGCTCTCTGGCAGCTATATGATTCATTGAGCTGATCAAAGTTAATGCAGCCTTGACCCACATCAACAAAAGTTGCAGGTTCCTCTAAATTCTCCTCATGAATTCATAGCAAATTGCAACTTGAACCTGTGTAAGCAGTTGGGCTGGTTCTGAGATGAAACTGGCCACAATTATTTACATGGGCATCCCATATTACTTGGGCTCAGACAGTTACTATTCCCCTCCTGTTCTAGTCATTGCAGTGGCAAGTGGGCACAACATGGCAAGTATCCATTGCCCTTTGACTAGTGAAGCTTGTCAGTGATTGGGGAAAGGAAGAGGGAAAGGATGGCCAATTCCTCTTCCCCCTTCCCACACCATTCTGGATCCCAACTGACATCACTTCAGCTATATCATGCCCACTGGCCACTGCAAAGATGAAAACAGAAAGGTGATGGCAAAGGTGGATATCCAGTGGGGCTGAACTGGGTTTGGCATCACCAGACAGACAGACAGACAGAAATCCCTCCCGCCACCACAGCAGATAGGGGGCAGGCAGTCATCCTGTGTCGAATCCAACATTCATCACTCCAGATCATCCCTGAGATAAAGGGTCTGTATACAGCAGTGGTTCTCAACCTGTGGGTCCCCAGATGTTTTGGCTTTCAACTCCCATAAATCCTAACAGCTGGTAAACTGGCTGGGATTTCTGGGAGTTGTAGGCCAAAACACCTGGGAACCCACAGGTTGAGAACCACTGGTATAGAGCCATCAATAGAATGATTGTCACCTAAGACCTCTGGAGAACCCTGGAAGATTTCGGTAGATGATCTATAGGGACAGAACCAGATGCTTAATTAGATTATAATGATTGGTTGTGGCTCATTCCTCCTAGCCCAAATCCTGATCCGATCTGCATGTTACTTTATGCTGTGGTACACAGACACTGGTGCCTGACCTGCTTTCTTAGTGGTAAAATTCAAATTGTGGAACAACTCATCAATCAAAGTGCCAGGTAATAGGCCATTTGATTTGTTCTTAAGTGTAAAAGTATAATTGTAATGTTTTATAATGCATTGTATAATTTCTGGAGCCATTTAGGCCTAAATCACAATTGTTAATTCCAATTACAGTGGAATCACTGACTCAATGGGAACTGGGTAAATCAATGCTTATGTGAGTTCTGTAGATTCAATGGGTCTCCACAGTTGAGATGAAATTGGCTTTATTCCATAGTTTAGGTGTTCTTTGGAGGATCTGAGAGTCTCCAGTTCAATACTAGCCACCTGCACATAGTTTTTACATTCTTTTTGTATTTAGATGTTAAATTCTTACAGAGGGTGTTGGGAATTGATTTCAAAGGCCGCATACAATACCTATAATTATTAATTAATGTAATCATTGTATGCTTTAAAACAAAGGCATTTGGGAAGAATTGTATAAGGGACAAAGAGATCAATGCACAGTTTAGGTCTGTGTGTATGTGTATGTATATATGTGTGTGTGTGTATATATATATGTGTGTGTGTGTGTGTGTGTATGTATGTATATATATATATATATTTAAAACAGTGGATTTGTTGGCTGGTTACCTGTTTCGTGGATCTGGTTAATTCCCATAGCAGATGCAAATTCAGGCTTGTAGTCATATTCCACAAGTCTCACCTGTGCTATTCTTCTCAGCTGCTCATGTGTATCAACCTAATTGACCAAAGACAAGACACTGCATGTTAAAATATTTAACAGAGTTTATTCATGTCAAAAGTTTTAATGTGCACATACATTTGAAGTCTGAGGTGGCTGCAGTTAATTTTCCATATTGTTATTAACCAGCATCCTTGCCCTATATCCAATACATCCCAAGATCCATGAAGACTGACTATCCAATGATGGCTTTGTGTTATCCAAAATGTTTCCACTCATGCATGGGGAGTTATGTGAATCCAATTTTTACTTACTGTAGCCATCCTGTACCAGACTTCCCAACCCAGAACCTTTCATACTGCACAACTGTAGCACTATGGTTCAACTTTAATTGCAATGGTAACATCCCATGAAATCCTAAAATTTTCTGTTAAGGGAAAGGACTATTTAGGACTCTCAGCCAGAAATCTCTCTGGTGTCACCCAATTACAAACAGCAGGACTTCATAGGATTTTGCCATGGCAGTTACAGTGAAACTATAATACCATAGTTACGTTGAAATAAAGGTCCCCTGGCACCCTCCAGAAATCTTTTTAGTTCCACCCAGCCTATAAGACTGCCATATCTGCAGGAAATACGTTCAAGCTGGACCGGATGGAAAACCTAGCAAATACCTAGAGAGACAATTCCTCCTCAGCCCCCATGCATGGGTAAGTGAAACGGCAGATATGGGTTCCACAATTATGAGGGTCATTATTCCAGGGGACCAGCTGCACACAGTTGCACTAGCAACTTTGTTCAGCTCACTAACAAACATACCCAGCCAATCCTTTCCCAGACACAAACACACATTTTTAAACAATAAGCAGCCCATCCCTCAACTAACCTTACACTCAAGATGGCCCCTTCCTCAGCCACCAAGCCCACTCGGATTATGGGAGTTGCAATCCAAAGAGTAACCTTTCTGAGCTCTGGCCTGAATACATGACACAGGGCCAGAAGCGTTCCTAGAAGGCAATGTTTTGGATTTCTCTACTCATATTGCTTGGCTGAGACCTTTCTAATTCATCATCTATGAGCAAAGCTTTGTCAAAAATTTGCTGCTCACATTCTCAGGTATGTAAAGCAATGCCCAAGTCGCAAATGTCTGTAAAAGGAAGTTCTCTAAAACAAATTAACAAGTAAGATCATTTTAAAATATTAGAATGTGATTATATTAAAAACCTATCTTTAAATTTTTACCCACAATAGTAAGCACAAGCTACAAGAACATTCCACCATTCTTACTGAATTGAAATAAAGATATTTCCCCCTAGGGGTGAGAAAAGTGGTATATAAATGCTGTAAATAAATAAATAAATATTTGGAGTAAAAAGGTCATCAAGCCCCACAGTCAAAGAAAGAGCCAAATGTGCATTTTCAGGAACAGAATCCCAAACAGATGGGACTTCCAGTGGAAAAGCCCTACTTCTTTTGCTCATCATAATTGCTGCTGCAGTTACATGGTTATTTATTTGTTGCACTCACCTCTTGGATATTTTGCTTGGCTCGACTGTCAGATGGATGCATGACCGTTCCCATAACTTTCATGTTTCCACAAACAACCAAAGCTTCATCTGGTGCATCTGTGTTAATCCCAACTCGGCCGTGACAAATAACCGTTTCGGGAACTTGCCCTCGTAGCCAGCATGCATCAGTATCATTCTCAAACTGTCCAGGGTTAGAGGCCTGAAAGCATTTTAAAGTTCATGGAAAATTGGTTCCATGCAAATCTTTATCAAGAAATAAATTCTTGCTCATTGTTTAACAGAACAATCCCCACTGACTAAATAAAATAATCTCCCCCAGAACAAGATTGCAGAATTGGCCCAGCCATTAAGCAAAAATGAAGTAATCATCTCAGGTGACAGATGCTAGACTGTAGTGCTAAGTATCAGAGTAGACAAATATTTTTCTTGTGAACTTCTCTTTATGCCTTCCCCACCTGTCTACAGATGTCATGAAGACTCTGTTTCATTGGTCACTATTGAAGAAAAGCCTGGTCATGAGACAGGAACTGGGGAGTTTCTTGTCCTTTGTCTCAGGTAGCAAATCATCAGAGGTCAACCTCGGGCTATCATACCATAATAGAAAAAGTAGAAAAAAAGGTCAAAACAAAAGTTCAGAAATCCAATATCACAGTTTTTCAAGGTCCTAAATCCTGCTGGTAGACTGAACTGGAAATGATTTATTGAATCAGTTCTTACATTGTACTGTTTAGTCAACACATGTATATTCCACTGATTCAGTGAGTTTGCTCTAGCATGAACTATCTTATAAATCATGGCTTAGGCTGTATGACAAGCTGGGAATAGATTGGAAGTACTAACTAACACCAAACCATTTTTTTTCTTCATATGGAATATATTTTGAAAGCTAACCTTGTTTTCCTGCAAAATCATTAGAAAAGGGTATGCACCTTCTTCCTTTTTTTGGAAACTAAGCAATGAATGAATTATTTTCAGTTACATGGTTCTTTATTTATAAGTGGAAGGGATCCTGAAATGTTTAGTGGTTAATTAAGGAATTGATCATAAATCACCAAGGGTATAAATATCCAAAGGCATCAGATTCTATCTGATATTAGAAGTTAAGCAGTGTCAGTCCTGGTTAGTAGTCAGATCGGAGATTGCCAATGAAGATTGGGTGCTGTAGACTATATTTCAGAAAAATAAACTTCTGAATATTCTTTGTGTAAGAAAACTCAATGAAAATCAAGTTGTCAACAGGCAACTTGAAGGAACATGGACACACATGCATAAATGATAAGTGTTACCTTATAGTCTCTCAATAACATATATAGGCAGGCATACATCCAGCATATACTGTACTTATATGGGTCTTTTTTGTTGTTGCAAAGGTCAGAATTCTCAATCTATCTTCCACAATGAGGAAAACCCACTGAAAATCCACATTTTTCATGCTACCACTCCTGTGACATGGTCATTTAGTGGTCAGTGGAGAGCAGGAGACTACTGAGAAATATCTTGCTATGTAACTAGAACCAGCTGCATAATAATGAAGAGATCCTCTGGGACTTGGGGAAGGGTCTGCCAGATAGAAAATCCAGAGAATGAAAGTGAGACCTGCAGAAGTGAAAGGGGAAAGGTATCATAGTTCTACCATAAGTGAGCCTTAGGTACTGTTCCATTATCTGGGCAGACTCCAAAAGGGAGTCTAGGCAAAGAAGGATAGTCCATTTTATGGGAGGAGACTTGAAGGAGGAACACCATTTCTCCGTTTTCATTTGTTATTCTCTACCACCACCACCACCACCACTTCCCATATCATAAACTAGGGTTATTTCCATGATGGCAACATGGATGGGGAAAATAACAAGGAAAAGAGGGGAAATGGTTTCACTCCTTCAACCCCCCTGCCTCTGTAAAATGGATGATACTTCTCTGTTTAGGCTCCTTTTGGAGTCCACCCAGATAAAGAAACTTTATAATACATATCCTAATGTATCATTGCTGTTGATTGCTGGCTCTTTTCCTCCAAACGCCATAGGCCTTCCACTTTCATTGGTTTAGGGTTGTGAGGGAACCACAAATGTGGAAAAACCATTTTAAATCTCCAATTTTTTAACCCGAGGGACCACCTTTCTGGCAATATCTAGGTTCTCCAGGGTGACTCTATGGTCAACTTCCACTGGAAATTCCTGGAAATTCCCAGAGAGAACATAGTCAAACCCACAAAGAATCACATCTGAAAATGTGGAGGACTGAATGTTTTTATTAAATTTTGAAATCAGCTACCCAAGGGACAGCTACACCATGAAGCCATTTGTTGCTCAAGCGAACATAGACATTCTGCTTTTAATTGGGACAGAAGAATTGCTGTGATCATATGCAAATACTACTTGCAACATAGCTCTAGAGACCTGAATGTTAACAAACAGCAGTTCTGGGGAAAATTACCATCTGCAACACTAAGGCCTAGTTCACTTCAACTCATTCAGCAGTTTTCCCCAAAGCATATATGATATTATGAAGGATGCTGGTTGGTCATGTTTTGTTAAGGTGATCACTTCCTTAGGCTCAGAATGATTTACTGACATGTCCTGGGTGGGTAATCTGAGATTTTGTTCTGAAGGCTGGAGAAACTTTTTCAGATTTTAGGAAGATGTAGACACGGCCATGGCATACAGGGTTGAAGCCCTGAGACATTTTTATTAGTAGTCATAGGAACCATAACTAGGATTGCCAGTACTCTGGGTTTGCCGTCAAGTCTCCAGTTTTTGTGCAGGTCAGCTATCAATACAGCAGCTTGCTACTATTCGCAGTTGAGTGGTTGATGCGGCTTTCAAAACTCTGCAGATTTGGCCTCTTCCTTCTCTTCTAGTCATTATGGTACTTGGGTTCACCATCCTCTTTGCTTCATATCCACTTTATGGCTAGAAGCAAGTAGGCTAGATGAAAATTAAAAGTTCCTTATACCGTTTCTTAAGTGAGAAGGAGTAAAATGCTTTAATTCCACTTTGAACCTGAGAACATCTTCTTTAGTGTTTTCATTTGCAAACAGGAAACGATTATGAGGGTATGGAGTGGCTGAATGACAAGCAACAGTTTACTATGGAGATGCAGCTACACTGTAGAATTAATGCAAGTGGATATCACTTTAACTGCCATGGCTCAATGCTATAGAATACTGGCATTTGAGCTTTGGTGAGACAGAAGCAGTTTTTTGCAAGAAGGTAGATGTTGTAATACTGCTATTAGAAGAATTCCACACCATTGAGCATGGCAGTCGAGGTGGTGTCCGACTGAATTAATATTGCATTATGGATACATCCTGGGCCCAGGTTTTGTTCCAGAGACCTTATCTGTAATGTCATTTCCCACACCTATGTATACACACATATCCTGCCTTGGCTTCTCCTGCTTCCTTTGAGGCCCCTTCCACACAGCTGTATAAAATCCACATTGAACTGGATTATATGACAATCTGGACTCAGATAACAACGCAGACATTGTCGGATTTTCTGCCTTGATATTTTGGATTATATGGCTGTGCAAAAGGGGCCTATGTTTGCATGTAATCCCTACAGCAACTGAGTTAGATATCCTAGCAACGCGTTCTTATCACTATTCCTGTTGCAATTCAAACTCTTTAGGTATAACTTTACAAAAGATATTCCTGATACAAATGAAAACGGATAATAATTGTTTGAAGGTCAACACAGCCACCTACACTTTTGGACTCTATAGAGAGGTTGCTATAGAGACTGTCCTAGTGAGAACTCGTGTTTCCAAATTTACCATTTGCTACAGGCAAGATGGCACACTCAGCTCATGGGAAGAGGATGCTGAAAGACCAAAATCCTGTTAAGTAAATATAGACCCATGAAATACAAGAAGAGCTTGAGCATTTTACTTCTGAGGACTAAGGACGTTGTCAAAGCAGCCCACTGTCTTGCCAGACAGCACCAAATTGCGGGTTTTAATCAGAGGCATAAAAACCCGGGACTTCAGAAGAGGTCCACATACAGACCAGTTGGTCCTGGAATTTCTGCCTCCATCATCCACACTTGCTGCTTCGTTGTGGTATTTAGAGGCTCGCAAGATGGCCACCATGGGACTTCCACCAGAAATTTCAGCAGGGTCTTTTTATAAAGAAAACTTAAAAAGCAAACATGCGAAGATGCAAATCACTCTATACTTTCCATTCCTGGGTAGGGCCACCTGTGCAGACAAGGTGTTCTTCCTGAGTTATACGTGTCTGTTCCTGATTGCTCTTATTGTGAAATGATGTACAACGTTGACCAGGGGGCCACAACTTTGTCCTAGTCAGAGAAAATATGCCCTCCACATGTTTCATGAAGTTTCTGGTACACAAACAAAATTTTCACATTCTACTCCACTGTCACCTTCTTTTTAGAGAACAAACCTAGATTAAAAGCCCCATGATTTCCGAGTGCAGAGACATACAGACATTTCAAAATGCGGATTTTTGGCCCATAACCAGGATATTCCCGCACTTGAAAATCTCGCATTTTTTGCTGTTTGTAGCAATTGCTTCCATGTTTATAGGGAACGGCATCTGGCCACCCTCCTGTTTGCTGCAGAAGCTCCTGGGATAAAGGAACTGTCTGGACAGGCCCTGAATCCACTGACACCATGTGGCATTTCAACACAGAAGCAGAAGGAACTTATTGCACTGAGGTGGAAGGATTGGAAAGCATTGACAGGTCTTATCTCTCAGGCTCCTTCCACACAGCAGTATAAAATCCACATTGACCTGGATTATATGGCAGTATGGATTCAGATAACTCAGTTTAAAGCAGACATTGTGGATTATCTGCCTTGATATTCTGGGTTATATGGCTGTGTGGAAGGGGCCTCATTTAAAGGGGCACTACAGGGAAGGAAAATCCGTAGCTGGATGCACACAACATCATGTGATAAGCTAACAGCAGCAGATGTGCTTATCTTGCTACAATTCAAGCTTGCCAGTCTAGTGTGATAAAGTCCTATAACTCAATATAGAAGACTGGCTCTCAAATGCAACCACAAGAATGAAGTCTGATGCCACTTTTAAGTGCCATGACACAATCCTATGGAACCCTGGGATTCAGGGTATGGTGAGGCACCAGCTCTCTTTGGCTGCAAAGGCTGAAGACCTTTTAAAACTACAACTCCCATGATTCCATAGCATTGCCATAGCAGTTGATATCGAAATGCATTAAT